TTTATTCGGCAATTGAGCAAATTTTTTAAAACCGAAAGCTACCCTTTCTTTGTGTTTAAAATTTAAAGAAGGCATAATTTGCCATCAAAAGTACAAGAAATAATTTTTTCGTGCATGGTTTCCATAAAATATATATGAATTTATAAACACAGTCGAAATAAATGATAAAAAGGCATACTACTTAAGTAGTCAGTTTTTAAAATAAATACGTTTTGCTAGTGGTCAGAACGAAGCTCGTTAAAAAGCCCGCATCCCATCCTGACTGAAATGACTTCAGAATAGACTGCACGAGTATCATAACTTGAGTCAAGGCTGATTACCGAAAGAGTATCAATCTTTCGCATATGTCAGAATGTTGCGTGATTTTTGGAGTCTACTATATATGTAAGCGGCCCTACAAGACAGTCTTGCCAAGCGTTTAAGAGACTCGCCGTAGGAGTCGCTCCTAGGTTTCTTTTGATTGGTTCGCCTTTTAGGCTCATAACAACAAGAAGTTTCGTGTGAGTAAACAATCTTAAGTATTTTTCAGGTTCATTTTTGATCAAATTGGAAACAAAGGTAGTCGCAAAAGACCCCATTGTTATTGAAGAAGTTTTTTACGTGTGCGGTTATTGTTGATTTAAATAGAATTGAAGCAAACTTTTAAGCTGAAACTGTACACGGTGTCAAAAAATGTCGTATCAAACGACTTTTTTTAAGCTAGTTTTTGATGCTTAGTTGAAATTGCAAAGCTAGACCTATAATGGAAAGAGCAAATCCAGATTCGCCCCAGAGACAACAATCGCAGAATTTTGCCATATACAGGCAAAAAATAAGTAAATCGCTCAGCTGCGGCTTTTATTCCTCATCCATGGTAAGAGTATAACAAAGAGTTTCCTAGTTGTGAATAGTCCTTAAAAGAATGGGCCAGGCAAAGCGAAAAATTACTAAAATTGAAGTAGAACAAGATGAGGCGAAACATTGAGTCAATAATCTCTCGTAGCCTACCATGTATATTTTACTATACAGTAAAGCTTTTCTGGGGGTGTCCCGGTGCGAAAACATTTTTCCGTGCCTGTCCTGAGACCCGTCCAATCTGGGCATCAACTCCCCGGGATTGGACGGGGCTCAGAACGGGGACGGAAAACGTTTTCGCAGCGGGACACCCCTTTTCTCATTTTTAAGTCCCCAAACTGATTGCTTTGTCAGGTGACAAGGTTTTTATAAATTTATTAATAAAAAAGAAGACTTCGAAAGATGTGTACTGTAACTATAGTTTGTTAATCAAAACCATTATCCCCGTATTCCTCCCGATTCTCCCGGGCGCCATCCCCGTCCAATCCGGGGATTTCACTGGCAGGGAACGCTACACCTGGTATTGACGACGGCGTCGTTGTGTTCTTATCCATTAGTACTGTTCAAGTCCGGTGATTTCTCCCATTAATCTGCATAACAATATGCTCAACAGCGGCATTTCCCACTTTTGTTGCAGCAATCTATAAGATAGGTAGAGATAGGACCATCTCGCTTAGAAGCCTAGTTTCGCAAAAATAGTGGGATTGCTCTCCAGCTGAATGATTCTTCTTATTAAACACAGTTTGCTATCCGGACCATTATGCGGATGACCATTTTGTGTTCTCCGGGGATAGCCCGATAAAAATTGCCTGTTGATATTACTTTTCATTACTTTGACTCAACACACTATTTTCACATAAACTGGCGACACTTATTTTCACCAAATTACAGAACAGCAAATGTGATGCCTGATTATTTTAAAAGCATTAAAAAAACCCGGCCAAATTAGTGGGAGTATCGCTAACCGTGATTTTCTCGAACGTAATTTTTTGAGCATCTTATGCGTCCAAGTAGTCTTTTGTAGTGCAATCTACTAACAAAATGAACAATGGTTGGCTCGGCGAAAAAGATTGGAATAACAATTTTTTGACTTCGGTGCGGTTCGGACGAGAATGATGGTGACTGGTGCCTCATCGACACCACTTCCGCTTCAAAATCAAATCCTATTGTGGTGGCATCCTTAGGCCAAGATGATTCGAATTGCATTTCATCGTAGTGGTGGACCCGGTATTCGTCACGTCCCTGGCTAAGTAGGCATGTTCAACTTGCCACACAAATAACAAATTAGTTAATTTAAAAGTATTTTAAGGCCAAATTGAAAATGAGCTACTTCGTTCTGTCTTTCAATGTCAAGAACCAAGATATCCCGTCAGTAAAGAACATTCGAAGCTAAGATTTTCAAGACAATATGATAACTACAAAGAGGTCGGATTCGGAATAGTAAGAAAAGATCGCGCAGAATCGAACACACGCCTTTTTATTTTACAGTATATCCTCTATCTTATAAAATGTCCACTAAAATTCGAGAAGGAGTAGAGTTTTAGTATAAATTGTAATGAGCACTTTTTTGGCCGCCTAGTAAAATTGTATTCTGTTAAGATGGCTAAATAGTATCAGTGTCAGTTTATTTAGGGAAGGATAGGTGACCGCTTTTGAGCCCCTTATTGGTAAAAAGATGGCTAGGAATTATGTAGATAGGATTTTTTATTATCGCTTTCCGATGCCCTTTTTGTGGACAAAAATGCATATGAATGTTCCCTCTTGTAGGCATTTGGTAGCAAATTACGTCTTCGAGTTAGATGCTTAAAGAAAGGGGTACCTTGCGGTTTTAAAAACGTTTCCGATGATGAAAATATTTAATACCATGAAATTTCCGTACATAAAGCATGGTCTTTGTCCATTTATCAATTCTGCCTATAAAGTATGCAACATAATCTACATCCATTGCCAAATTATATGAGCATTATATGACAGATAAATATGCGGTTTTTCTCAGGCGGAATATAGAGGGCATGTAGTTTAGAAACGCTGAATGCAAATGTAATGGCAGATGAGATTCAAAATTATGCGTCCATGAAAGTCATGTAAAAAACCCAATGATACCTTCCTTCAAATATAGAATTAGTTTCCTAGCAAATGAGTACAAAAAGGATATTTTCACGCATCTTTTTCAGAAAATATTTTTGAATTTATCAAGGCATTGAAAATTAGTGAAAGCAGTCATACTACTTGAGTAGATAGTTTTTACAGATGGCCGGAAAGGGACTCATTCGAAAGCTGATAGCCTGACGCTGCTGAAATATCCTAGGATTATACTGTACGCTCTTCAATATTGAAAACACGTATGGATAAACTTTTTGAATCTCGATTGACATTTCAGGAGAAAGCACGCCTACTCTATTTAGCAGCTGCAAGACGGGATAAAAGTGACGGAAGATTAGATTGGCGCAGTGTATAACCACCCATTTCTCTCCCATTTCCTGCTTTTAGCAAAAACCGATATGAATCAGACTTCAGCCAGACGGTTCTCCACTAATGGGGATTTGCATCGCTTTTAGCTTTACATGTCAGTGACACTCAAAACGACCGAAAAGCAAAAACAATAGGAACTTTGATGATTTAGCTTCAAAAGTAATTGAAGACCTTCTGAAATAATGACTCCTTAGTAAAAAACCAATTGCATTAGAACTTTAGGCGCATATGGACATATGCAAAATGCCACTGGTTTCATTGTACTCCATTGATAGTCATTAGCTAAACGTCCAAATGCGTGTTTCGTTGACTGACGACTGCGATAGGTTCCGCTCGGCCGTAGATTCTCCAGAGTCCTCTATGCGGTCTCTGACATGTAAATGACATAAATGGATGGTAACGCAATAATTTAGACCCAAACTTTTATCACGATCTTTTGGCGGATCTTAGCAGTTGTCTCCTGGACACTTAACTCCAAGCCCTTTCCATAGTAGTTTTAGGAGCTCGATAACCTAACACAGTGAAAGTAACAATAAACGAACAAAAAAGGCCTCTACCGCGTAGTTCCAAAGGCAAAATCTTTCCCGCTTGCAATCGCATATCCTGATTTTTGAAACAATTCCGAGTATAGGCAAAAAAAATTTTGTCATGGATCGCATGTTGTGAAAGATGAGAACAAAGGCTAAGTGTTCAAATCCTCTGAACTTCGGTTTTTTAAGATATTAACAGAGAAGGCAACCTCCTGTT